TGTTTGTTGACTGAGTTAATAAATGACTTTCACTTGCTACTGGTTAAAAATCAAATTTCTTTTGGTTTAATTGGCTTAATCTACCCAAGTTAATTTCCTATATGATCGAAGTCAATAAAACTTATTCGGCTTTCCCTTCCAGATTACTTATTCCTATTAATGGCTTTTTCTATTTCAGTTCTATCACTTTCTAGCTGGCTACCTTGGCAAGTTAATTAATGTCTCCACACTTCAGTTTTCCTCATGGACAGAATGGGGATAATAGTATAGTTATCTATTATGCTATAAGGGCTAGGAATGTGTGTGTGTGCGTGTGTGTGTGTGTATACACACATATATATATGTGTATATATATTATATATATGTGTATATATATTCTATATATTATAATATATACATATGTATACATTGTATATATATTATATGTGCACATATATAATATATATACACATATATGTTATTATATATTAAATATATGCATGTGTATATATATTTTATATGTATACATGTACATATATGTGTATATATTGTACATATATAATATATTACATATATAACACACATGCATAATATATATGTATGTGTGTGTGTGTGTGTGTATATATATATCAGACCATTACCAGTAGATTGTTGTAAGATGTTCAAATGGCATCTTGGTGCAAGATATTTATGTGGATCTGAGGTATCAAGTAGTAGACTAGAACTTTTTCACATGTCAAATTATTCTATAGGTCTTTAAATGAATGATACTGTGAGTTCAACAATAAACATTTAGTGAGTGCTTACAATATCAAACGTACTGCCTCAGAAAGTGAGAGGGTTGTAAAGATAAATAAAATATAGTCCAAGCTCTCAAGAAATGCACCATTGAAGGAGAGACAGAATATGGACCAGAAAAATAAAGTATCATATCAAACAGAACACAAGGTAAAGTGAGCTACGGATAAATGTGCTTAGGCTAAAGCCTACAATGCTTTGACTACCAAAAAGGTAGGAATCTCACACATTTGGGGGAGCAAAATAGATTTGTGGGAAGAAAGCCTTTAAAATAAACCTTAAATAATTTCTGAAAACATAACATTGTTTTATTTTTCTGATTTTTCTGATTACTAAAACAACATATTTTCAGAGTAAAAAAGTTTAATTTAACCAATAAAAATCAGAAAATAAATGTCATTCATAAACCCACAACCCATAGGTCAGCACTGACAAAAGCTTATGGTATATTTTTCTTTTTTGTTTGTTTGGGTTTTTTTTGTTGTTTGATTGTTTTTTCCAGCACAAGTGACACAGAATATGGTATATATTTCTAACCTCTTGATTATGCATATATGGTCATTAATTGATTCAGTCAATAAACAAGCACTATGTGTCAAATGCTGTGCAAGGAACTGATTAGTTTATACCACACAATATCAATATGATTTTTCTTTACCAAAATGGAGTCATAATGAAAATAATATTTTGTCAATTGATGTTTTTACTTAACAATGTATAGGATTATCTTTCATATAATGAGAGGTATGTATACCCTAGTTTATTTACCTATAATTTCAATATTTATAACATTGTTATGAATACCTAACAGTATAATCTTTACATTTATCCAGAAAAAGCAGTGAGATATAGTAATTAAGAGTATATGTTTCACAGTTAAAAATACCTGGTTCAAATTTGGCTTCACCTACTTACAGGCATGGAGTAAGTTACCTAACATTTTTTGTGATTCTATCTCCCGATATGTAAAATTGGGATAATAAAAGCTATCCTGAAGAATTCTTATAATATAATTAGATATATACTTTAAACAACATGGCACATAGACACTATTCAATAATTATGATTAGCTACTGTGATTATATCTCTGGGACACATTCTCAAAAATACCATTCCTTGGACAAGCTTTATAAGAAGTCTGATGAGAGACAATGTGACTTTATTAGAGTGGAGAAAGTACACATAAAAAGATAACAGGCTCCATACACGTTTTGGAGGCAATAGGCTAGATTTTAGGGGAGAAGTAAACTAAGGAATTAAGATGGTTTTCAGGTTTTAGCTTTTTAGCTTTGAACAATTGGGTGGTCGTGGGCACCAGTTATTAACACTGAGGAACCTGAAAAAAGAAAGATTTGGGGAGAAAAATACTGAGCTTCATTTTGAAAGTAATTAATGTTAAGTAGCTATAAGATACAAAGGCATAAACATCAAGAAAGAAGTTGTGTATATACGAGTCATATATATGTCTTAAAGAGACAATCTGAGAGATACAGATGGAAACTGGGAAGCCTCAGCATGCAGATGGTATTTGGAACCATTGAACTGAATGGGATCACATAAGTCATTGCAGATCATGTGGACATGCAGTCAACAAACGATTTGCTGATGCCCTAAACTTTCACTTCTACTGCTGGTTAGGATGCCATCTAAACACTGTTGACTTAGTTTAGTTATTGGAAGATACTTGCACATTAAAGTCTCTGATTTACCATGTGCAATGCTTATATTTGATTTGCTTAGCAGGCATATTTCATATATGATTTCATTGCATGGAATTTTATATTATTTCATCATTAGAAGTACTTTACATGCTGGAAATTGCCCACTCGATATCAGACAACTTCTTGAGACTTGATGTCTGATTTTGTACATGGGAAAAAGAATTATCTGGTGGGGTTTCCGTTTTTATCCCAGCTATAGCATATAACCATTTTCTTTACAATACCACAATTCTGGGGTGCTTTGTTCCTCATTCTGCAGTTCTTTGATGTCCCATGAATAAGATGAAGTAATCTTCATCTTATTCATGGGAAATAATTGTGGCATTTATTCTGTTTTGCTACATGGGCATAACATTTTTCCTTCCCTCCCTCTGAAAAGATCACTCATATAGAGGGAAGGATGAGGCATTCTGTCGATTCCACTTTCTAATGAAAGAGAAACATCAATTTGACTGTCAATGCGATGTGAGGTGCGTTTCATATACCCTAAAGTAAAAGCCAACAACTGTGACTTCCTTGCAAAGAGGAATCCTCTACCTATAACATTTGCAAAAATGTTTCATCTTTTTATGGATGTTTAAGAAATTTGAGGATTATAGGAATGATTTTTCAGCTTCCCTTCGATGAATATGACTCTTGGCTGTCACCAGAAAAAAAGAAAATCCAATTGGGTTGTCTCAAAGCAGTATAAAGACTTGTGACCTTCTCCTCATTTTACAGAAAGAAGTCAGTGATTGACAAATAACCTTTCTTAGATGTTTAGATGTTCATTACAATAACTGTAACTTCACCCTACAGATCTTAGCCAAAATGATGTAAAATGGACCTTTACTTGCCTTGTTCTTCCCACTCCTGAATACAGGGCAAAGTACTGGCACTGTTAGGAATTCCCATTTCAGGGAGAAGAAATACTATCTTTTTGGACAGAAGCTTTCTATGTCAGCAACTCAAGGGGATTTTTAATTAGGTACCAATTTGAAATCAGATAATCCCTCACTTTCAACTTGGTTCAGTTACTGAGTTAGTGACTTTGGACAGGTTACTAAATGATTTTCAAACCTTATTCTGCATATGAATCCCCTGGGAAGAGTGTTAAAATGAATATTGCTAGATTCTACCTCTAGAGATTCTGATTCACTAGGTCTGGGACGGAGTCAAAGAACCTGCATATTTCACAAGCTTCCCAAATAATTCTAATAGTTTGATCCAAGAGACACATTGAGAAATTCTGTTCTTTCTTTTCTTACATCAGAGGGCTATTCTAAGAGCAGAGAAGATAGAAAATCTGAAGCTGCTTTGAGTGCATTTAAAGGAAACCAGAATGCCAATAAATATGAGATACTGTGCAACCAAGTTCTCTACCTCAGGGACTGAAGGGAGTGAAAACTCTCTCTCTGTGTATCAAAAAGAAGTGGAGATCTCTTCTCTGCACCCGGTAGGCTACAAAGGTATTTCCTATGCAACTTCACTTTGTATGGTGCTCCAATCTGCCAGAAGAAAAATTGGAATGATTATGAACATTGGAATGTTGTGCAAGATGAAAGCATTTTTTCTCAGCTGTGATGGAGAATGTCTTGGTGTGAGAAGGCTTGCTGTACTCTGCAGGTGGGCTGGTGAGAAGTGAGCTCTGTGGAGGAAGGGAAGCAGGTTCTTTGCGTAACACCGAAGGCAAACATCCTGTTCTCTTTGTAAGCGTTAGGTAATTAAATATTTCCTAGCCAAGAAAGAGAAAAAAAACTCCATGGCTATTTATTTCATCCCTTCCCTAATGCCAATCACTTTAAATGTGTTTAATTAACAACTATTTATGGAGCGCCTACTATGTGCTAGGCACTGGGCTGGGTAATGAGGCCAGCCATGGACAAAAGCCTGCTACTCCCCTCCAATAAGCCCTGAACACTTTCCTGAAGACATCACCCAGCATGGTTTTTAATGACAATCCAATGTGATTGTGGAAAGTGCTAGAAAAAAGTAAGTTACCCAACTGACACTGGGAACAGAGCACAGAAGGCTTGCTAGAGTAAGATTGGCCAGATTGGAAGTCAATCAGAGACCTAAAGTAGGAACAGGAATTAGCTAAGACTTCTGGGTACATAGACCCACATTTTATTCATGGTTCAATTATTCTCTCGGGCTATTTGCTCAGATTCCCTGGGTGATCGCCAACTTGAAAAAATGAAAGGATATGTTAATAAGATCTTTGAAAGTGCTGCACAATACCTGGCCAGGGTAGAGTAATAATAATGATAATTCTGTTTAATCAGGCTTCACAAGACCAGACTCCTTGATGATTGCTTTCAATGTGTTATCCCATTCCACCTTTGCCACAGTACTAAGATATGAGGCAGGTACCAGCTTAAGCCCATTTAATAGTGGAGGAGATTGAGACTCAGAAAGCATAACAACTTAGCCATTTGCACAGCAGTCTGACCTCAGAGTTGGTGTTCTCAACTACTGTGATAGAGCACTCCTGGAAAGTAGCCTGATACCAAGCAGGGGCTTAATAAGTATTTATTGAATGAATATAGCCTTCAGTAACTAATAAATGTCAACCAACCAAAAAAATCAATATTACCATTAATACAAAAATAATGGATATTTTTAGATAATAAAAAAGCTCATTCAAAACAATCCATTACAAATACATAAGTCTTTTCTTTTAAAAAGTATGGGTCATATATGTCTTATAGCCCATAGAAGATAACTAGAATTGGTCTTGCCAACAAAGAGATAGTATAGATATTATAGATAGTAGACCTATTTTTCTTTATGAGGAGATTAAGGCAGCTAGAGATAAGCTTTAAATTGCCCAAGGTCCTACAGACAGCAGAAAGCAAATTTTTAAATCCTACACCAGAGATTATTCTACTGCTCATCTTCCTCTGGATGCACAACTGTGAGTTTAAGACATGGTTGACTGTCTTGAAGATGCAGGGCACAGGACACCAAGGCAGCTCAAGGGAAATCCATCATGCTTTCAAGATGCTTTCAGCTGCAACAGAAAACTTCTGTCAACATATCTGGAATAGGAAAAGAATGATCTCTTCCTCAGTTCTGCGAATATCCATTGAGCACCTACTATGTAGTCAGCATTCTAGGCACTGGAGATTCAATAGTGGACGGGCTAGACAATAAGTATAATAAACAAGTGGCATTAAAATATGAGGCTATAAATACGAGAAAATAAACCAATAGGGAGTACAGGGATGTGGTGTTCTCTTTTAAATAGGACGGTCAGGACTTCATGCAAATGACATTTGAGGAGTGAAAGGCAGAAGACAAAGAAATTCATTGTGTGACTATCTGGGGAGGAGAGGTCCAGGTAGAGGAAACAGCCAGTACAAATTCCCTGAGCCATGAGCTTAACTGGTATGTTTAAAGACTGGACTTGAGGCCAGTGTGTCTGAAGTTGAGTAGGCAAAGGAAGAAGTTGTGAACGATGGAGACAGATGACGGCAGACAGATGCAAGGCGGGACCTTATAAACCATTATAAATACTTGGTCTCCTGCCTGAATGAAATAAAGAGCCACTAGTTGAAAAATGCTCTTTCTAGCAGCAGCTCAATTAACGGACCACTGTCAGAAGAAGGAATTAGTTGAAAGGTTATTGCAATAATCCAGTTTTTCACATAATAAGTCACAAGTCAGGGACCCCCCAGAGCTGATAAATTCCCTAGGTGAAGCACAACATAGAGAACTCAGATCTTCTCTATCTCTCTGCTTTGCTGTCCTTGGAATGTCAGCTTTGTCCCAAGACAACTGCAGCAATTCTGGATGTTACTCTGAGATAAACCAACAATGTCAAGTGAAAGGACATTCTGATTATTTTTTAAAGCAAGGAACCTTTTCCCTCAGATATCCCTAGAAAATTTCTTTTGATGTCCCCTTTGCCACAGTCTAAGTCAAATGCCCACTTTTAAACCATCCATTGGCAAGGAGAATGGGAGTAGGCTAACTAGCTTTATACAAACAGGTTTGCACCTGAGTTTGGTATAGGATCATCATCCCTGAGTGGAAGATACTACAACAAAATCTAGACTTTGCAGCAAGGAATGAGGGTGCAATTCAAGGTAGTCTAACAATAGTATCAGCTACAAGAAAAATGAGACTGATAAGACTTAACTAATTCTATTGCTACCACTGTGCAAAGAATGGTGGGTCATTGACTTATTCTTTGAAAAACGTGGCTCAAGCAAATCGAGACACCAAGCTCCTCTAGACTGACTTGTCTTGAAACTGGGGCCTGGAGTGTGTGAGAAAATTATTTGCCTTTTTGTAAATGTTGCTAATTAATCAAGCTCAGCATCATCCTACTTACTTCCTATGTTATTAGTTAATGGAATTTAAAAGCCAAGAATAAATAATTAAGCACATGGACACCGTGGGATGGTTCCTGTTTTTTTGCTCAAGGTTTCAAGTAACCGTTGTGACTTTTTCTTAGTATATTTATTTTTAGTCTATCATACAGAGTTTTAAAAAAGAGAGTATAGCTAACTTTATACCAATTTAGTTGGAGGTAAAAATATTGAATTTTATTCATCCATGTATTCAGTAAATATATATTAGGCAGTAGGTGCTGGAAACACAGCAGCCCTCAAAATAGCCACAGTCCGTGGTATTAATGGAACTCACATTCTAGTGCAGAGATCAACAATAGAAAATGCAAGCTTACAAAGACACAAGATATTTTCCCATGATGACACATGCTATAACGAATATAAAATGTGCTTGCGTGGGAGTGGCTAAATGAAGGAATGAGGAATGGCACATTACATGGCTTTTCTATGAAGGCTTTTCTGAAGAGGTGACATTTAAGCTAAGAGGCAAATAGTGAGTAGAAACCATGTTTAAAAAAACTTATGGGAACAGTGGTTAGACACAGGAAACAAGTGCAAAGGCCCTGAGATAGGAACAATCCAGGCATGGCTGGAAGGAAGCCCAGGATGACTGGATCATCAATAGGGGAAGAGTCTATGTTGAGGTTGTGGAGGGAAGCAGAGGCAGGTTCAGTTGTGAGCTTTAAAGCCATGGTAAATACTTGTGTCTTATGCTGGGTACAATGAAAAGCTTTCAGGATTCTAAGCATGGAAGTACTCCGATGTTTTAGGCCCTGAATCCTAGGGCATTTCGCCTCAATGGAGAATTTTCAATAACATAATCTTCCTTATAGTTGTATTGTGAGAATTAAACCTCACCTCTAAACTCAACTATTTTTCTTTGCTTTGTGTTTGCGTCCAACCTAGAGGTTTTCATACCTCATCTCTCATAGTAAAATGTTGTCTGTGGTCTGAAGCTCATTGTGGTATCTTTGCCCAGGACCAATCGGATTTTGTGAATGTTACAGTGTTAGTCAGTGCCCAAAAGTGATTTTCAAGGCATTGTTGAGATCACTTAAATTTGGGGGGTCCTTAGACCTGACCATGTCCTTTCAGTTTATAGTTTAGGGAACTTAAGATCTATTGTTTTTTTCATTTTATTTTTTTTACCCTGCATGACATTTTCATAATTTTATTAGCTGTTTCTTAAGGGTCATTATTATATATTGTCTCATGGGTGATTTTTTTCTGATTGCGATTTAAGGCAACCTTTCCCAAAATTATGGCACAGTTATTTCTCCATGTGCGCTTCTCAATCTACACCATTAATCAAATGTACCAGGTAATTTTAATGTTGGCAGGTCTATACCAATGATATTCAAGCAGTAATGATTTCCAAATATTGATATTAAGTGCCTATTTTCCAAGGAAAACTGACGGCAGTTTTTTACAGCTTACCATTCATGCATGCTTCAGAATTTATGTTCCTGTTCTTTTTTTAGTCAATGATTCATGTAAAGCACAGCTTCTCATCAGACATACCTGAGAGAGAATATTTTTCTAGTAAATGTTTTACAGCTTGCTGAAGATAAGATGTCTTTTTAAAATATTGCTATTTAATAGCAGTTTATACCAAATTCATGAAACTAAAACAGAAAAATTAACAGACTTTATTTTCAAAACAACCAAAATATTACTGTTTAAAAACGGGCATTTTTTTCACATAAAGTAATACTCTTTGTGTTTTTAATGGAAACTTGAGGATATTAGAAGGACTTTATCATAGTTAAAAGAATGAACTGTGAACAGATGGCCTGGATTTGAATCCCAATCCGACAACTTTCTGTGTCCCTTTGAATAGATTACGTAACTTTATTTTGACTTAACTTCACTTTACTCCTCTATAAAATGGGATAATAGTAGTTTCTCTTTCATAGACTTGTAATGAGGATGAAATAAAATAATCCACACAAAGTACAGAGCTTGTGCTGATGAAAACACAGATTATAAGAAAATAAAAATGACTCATCATTCTATGACCCAGATCATTTTTTTAATGTTTAATATGTGATAAGTTTAGTAAACTCTCTCTAAATGAACTTAAAATGGCCATCAGATCCATGTGTTTACTAAAAAAATGATTTACACCTGGGTGCACACAAAGATTACACTTCATCTTTGAGAAGAGCAATAAACATCTGTAGAGGGTTCTAGGCTCCACTTCTACAGACATGATGTCAGAGCAAGTGGAAGAAAATTACAGACAGCTAGTTGTCTCTACATTACCAACAAACATGAACAATTAATTAGCACTTCTTACACCTAATCAAAGTATTGTTTGCCCACATGATGTTAATGAACAAATAGGCAACTGTGTGATTAAACACTTAGATTCATAGCGTGTTGGAATTTGGAGGAAACTGGAAGATCTTTTCTAATCTACCCACTTATAGATAGAGAAGGTGGGGTACAGAAAGGAAAACAGACAATGAAGTTATGAGTTTCCTTGTCATATTACCATTTAATGTTTCCACCACTCTGGTTCCCCTGAGGCATTATGGGATTAGAGTATCTGATATCCCTTCCAGTAAAGAAACAAAGGAGTATTACTCAGCCTGGAAAAAGAAAGAAAGCCTGTCATTTGGGACATCACAGATGAATCTAGAGGACATTATGTTAAGTGAAGTAAGCCATGAACAGAAAGGCAAATATCAGATGATCTCACATCTGTGGAATCTAAAAATGTCAAACTCATAGAACCAGAGGGTAGAGTGGTAGTTACTAGGGGCTGGGTAAGTGGAGGTTGTGGATACAAGGAATACAAAATTTCAGATAGACAGAAGGAATAAATTCAAGAGTTCTTCTGTTCAACATGGTAACTATAGTCAAAAACAAGGTATTGTATACTTGAAAATTGCTGAGTAGATGTTTAGTGTTCTCATAAGTAAACATTAAGTATGTGAGGTAATGCATACGTTAATTAACATAACTTAGCCATTCTAAAATGTATACATATTTTAAAACATCATGTTGTACACCATAAATGTAGACAACTCTTTGTCAATTAAAAATAAAAACCACCAGCCAGGCACAGTGGCTCACGCCTGTAATCCCAGCACTTTGGGAGGCCGAGGTGGGTGCATTACCTGAGGTCAAGAGTTTGAGACCAGCCCAGCCAACATGATAAAACCCCATCCTACTACAAATACAATGATTAGCTGGGTGTGGTGGCAGGTGCCTGGAATCTCAACTACTCAGGAGGCTGAGCTAGGAAAATCACTTGAACCTGGAAGGCAGAGGTTGCAGTGAGCTGAAATCACACCACTGCACTCCAGCCTGGGTGACAGTCTCAAAAATAAATAAAATAAATTAAAATCCTCCTGACCATCAAGCAGATGTTAACATTTTCTATCTCCATTGTATCATCCAGCTGTTTTCTTTAACCTAGATGGTGATTAAATGGACAGATATGAAAGGAGGAAAGATAGTAGCCCTCCAAGGGCCTTGGTATTGTCTTTTGGCCAACACGCAGGCTAATCACATCAGCAGAGGGGTTCAATACATGTATTTGGCTCTTGATGAAGCCTGGCTCCTCTGGGCTTCTCTAAGTCTTCCTCAGAAACTGCTGACATTTCCCAACTTCTCATGGGCAAGGGAATTTTGATAATACGAAAAAAAAATCATAATTAGAAACGGCTTTCTAGTAGTTCAAGAAAGGCATTAAGACAGGAGCCATATCTATCTTATTTGTCTAATACAGTGCCTGGCACTTACTGAAAGCTCAATGAACTTAACATTGAAGAAAAATTATAGTCAGCACTGAGCACATCCAGCATTCCAGGTGCTAGGTTCCTGACGTGTCAAGCACTTTCTAAGGTCTCACTTCTTAGCAGAGGCTACATGACACCATAATGAAGAGCACAAGCTCCAGAAAAGCTCACCCAGGTTTGCAGTCCAGCAAATCTGCTATATGAGTATGGCATTTAATTTTAATCTGTGCCTCAGTTTCTTCATCTGTAACATAGGAATAATAATCGAAGGCACATCCAGGGCGCTTGTGTGGATTAAATTAGCTTACATGTATTTACATCACAGCATGGAATACAGTCAGCATTTGGTAAATGCTTGCTCTGTCATTATTTTGTTAGCATTACTTAGCTACTCACTCCATAGGCCCTGTAAAGGAGATATTCTGATACCTAGATTTTGGCAGAGGAAATTGAGATTTGAAGAGCTTAAAAAATGGAATGTTTCTACGAAAATTACCATTAGTCACTGGAAAACCTATGATTTAAACCTAGAAGGTAAACATTCAAGGGACTCAATAATGGTTCTCTGTGGTGGTTAAGAGAGCAGACTTAACCACCTGACTCTGGAGTCAGTCTGTCAGGTTTGAATCCAGCCCGAATCAGGGCCCTGTTATTACCAGATGTGGATCCTTGAATAGGTCCTGCTGAGCCTTGGGGTCCTGAGAATAATAGATCCTATCTCACAGGGATGTTACAAGATTTAAAAGAGATAATGCTTGTTGGCATTTAGCTCACGGACCCGCAGTCAGCAGGCACCCCATAAACTCATTTTTGTCAATAGTAACAATAGCTGTAGTCAATTCCAGTTGCTTCCTCCAAAAGCCCTCCCAAGCACCCTGGAATCATGCTTGGCTCTGCCTTCCGAACTTCCTTATACACCCCCTACTCATGTACTCCATCATTAAGTCATATGTCATTTTTCCTCTTTTCTCTAAATAGGTCAATGCCTCCAACCCCTTGACCTCACTCCAGCCTCATTGCCACTATCTTTGTTTGGACACCATCTTCTCTTCTCTGCATATTGAGGCAACCTCTTTGACTTACCCCCACTCTCATTATTGTCCCGACCACCTCCAATCTATTCTTCATACCGTGTCCAGAGTAGTATCTCCAGTGTGTACCTAGGTCACTTGCTTCCCCAAGAGCTTCATTGGGTTTCATTACTCAGGATACCCCCAGCCTCACTCACCATCCTCCTCATGTACTCTCTCCTCCATGCATCCCCTAATGCCATATCCCCTCACCTGCAGCACTACATACATACCGTCCCCTTTGTCAGAAATATTTTCATCCTCTCTTTTTCTTGCAACCCCGTATTCATCATTCAAATCTCAGTTTTGGTTTTATTTTCGCAAGTAAACCTTTCTTAACCCTGAACTCTGAGTTTGGTGACCCTTGTAGAAGGTCCTGAATGGTCTCCAGCATACACTTACTAAATGCATTATAATTTTCTTCTCATATGTTTCCTCTACTAGACCATGCTCTGCATAAGGACAGGGTCATATCTAACATGTCTGCTACAGCTACTTGCTGCTATACAACTACAAGTTGTTAAGCGTTCCTAGTGCCCAGCACCATGCCTGGCATATACTAAAGCTTAACAAATACATATTGAATACATGCATGATTAAATGAAAGAAAGAATACTAACTTTTCAATCAGCAAGAAAGACCAAGAAGACAGGAGACTCCAAGAAAATTCATTCTAGTGCCCAAAGTGACATTCCTTACTGCTAAGTTCAACTCCTTGTCAGTGTACTTGGTTTATGGAATGCCTTTGAGTTTAAATAATTTATCATAGAATAGAACTGTCATTTTTCAATGTGCCGGTATCAGTGGATGCCTAAAGAGCTACGCAGGACCAAACGGCAACAAGCTTATATGTTTAAGTTTTCCAAACACGTTTACAAATGTTGTTTCATATACCATATTGTTTTGATTTATATACCAGACTTGTGGGAGAATGAGGTGAGCAAACTAAGGTATGAAGAATTACACAAAGATCTTAGTTCTCCTTTCTTCTAATGAAAATGTTATTTACCCACATTATGCTGTCTAATGTACAATTATTGTGTCCATTATCACAGCCTAGGTCTCTGAGGCCATATTGCTGTAAAGCAGTGATTCTCAATCTAGGGTAATTTTGCACCCCCGAGGATATTTATGATGCCAGGAAATATTTTGGATTGTCCTGACTGGGGGATGGGAGGTGTGCTACTGGCATCTTTTGGGTAGAACACAGTGACACTACTAAACATTCTGAAACAGCCCCATCTCCCCCACACAACCACACAACGATTACCTCATCCAAAATATCAATAGCGATGAGCTTGAGAAATCCTCCCGTCGAGCAAAGCTCATAGGCTGAAACAGCAAAGGGGGAGGTAACTGTGTAAATCTCTCCAGATGTAATCCAGATGTAGAGGAACTGGTGAGTACATACCCTGTTAAAGGCATGAAGTTTGAATTAGAAAATATCATACTCTGCAGGCCAAACAGAGCTCTTGTGCAGGCTGCGGTGAGCAGTGTAACACTCCCAGGGGAAGGTCCTCGCTGAATGAGCAAATCTGGCTCCTTACTGTCAGAACAACAGGAACAACATTTTCTCTCCTGCTACCTCCTAAAAGATTTACTATTATGGCCTCTCAGAATCCAGAGGAAAGCTGGGTTAAAAGTGTTTTCTTGAAAAGACGTTAAACCCAATCACTCAAACGCCTATTCGGTATCTCTAAGGGGTAGCCTACGGGTCAGAAAACTAAGATCTTGCCGCCTAGATTCATGTACGGGGTTGCTTTCAAATCCTCTAACGTTCTCATCTGTCCAAAAAGAAATAGGCTGCCTGATCCTGGGGAAGGCTCTAAAGCCAAAATAGATATCACAGTCAGAGAAATCCTTTAAAAATATTGTTTCATATCTGCATAGTGCTTCCTTTTCATAATATTCATGATATAATTAAAATGCAGAGATGTCCAGGAAGGAAGCAGACAATTCCTTCTGCAGAACGGGAAGCACATTCTGGATTTACTTTGGAATGCTTTCTTTTTATGAAGACTTTGAGGCATTATATATACTGAATAATTGGAACATTTTTTATTCAGCTTGGACAAGAAATGTTAAAGTCCACTATTTCTGAACAAGAGCTAATAAGTGCATAGCCCAAATACAGCAGTTGAAATCTGCTTTATATATTTAAAATATGTTTTATAATTCCATTAATTTATAATTAATAGGAGAAAGAGTGAATTTGAGCTGTTTTAATAAAACTGTTACTGCTATCTCTTACCAGAAGGCTCTTCCCACTTATATCTCCACATATATAAATTCTTCCTCTTCAAAGCCTATCCCAGATGCCACCACCTCAGGAAGTCTTCTTGGAATTTGTCCCAATGTTCCATTTAGGTGTGAGAGTTTTCTACTATGCACTTTATCTGTTACTCTCTTTTGGCCCTTCTATGATATTCATATATTTGTTTTTTAATTTTGTCTTTTCTATCTCTTCCCTTCCTTCTCTCCTTCCTCCCTTCCCCCTCCCTTCTTTCTCCTTTTCCCCCTCCTTCCCTCCCTCCCTCCCTTTTACATTGTGTGCCTATACATGCAACTAATCTCACAGTCCTTGGCACCATGTCCTAGGAATCACAAACTTCCAACACATATTGGATCTTTGGAGGCACTGATAGGCAGGTGTGTGAATTTGGCTAGATTTCTTCTACATGATTATGGTAGTCATTGGCAAACCCTTTCTTTCAAATAGGTCAGAATTAAATTTGCCCACCCCTAATCAAATACTCACAAGTTCCAAATAAGTAGACACAAAATTTTAGTCTCATTCTTGGTGCCGTGTCCTATACTAGAGT